TATAATTGTGAAAATGCCTATTTTGAGTGGAAGCAGAAACACGCTGTTTTCGTGCCTGTCTCTTTAAATGCAAACGAGCTGCTGCCATTTTCCAGAATAGGGCTGTGCCTTTACAGCTCATTCTTCAGATACTCTGCTAAAGAACATCTGTTTGGTTTTGATTATCATGTTTTAAACCATATTAGTTTAAACTTCTGATATACGGTTTTCTGAGTGCACACATCTGAAGCACACGCACAGAAAGCGGCTGTCACACGGCACATCAAATACACACAAATTTATGTTCAAACACATGAGTTACAAAAACACAGTTATGTCTGTGAAGGAAAACAGCTGGGAAAGAAATCACGTTTATATTAGATATGTGTATTAAGTGACAGCAGCATAATATACAGTACCTATACTGCTGTCTGCACTGTTAATATGACCCAAATAATAAAATCACTCACTGCTTTAGACTGAATAACTTCTATAGCTGTAATAAGAAGATATTTCTTACTTGAATGCTGCTTTTAAATGCTCTAGCGTGAAGATAAACATGGAGGATTGTGCGTGGTTCACTCAGGGCGGGGTCTCTGCTAATTCAGCGGTGTCCATCAACAGTCGTGGGCGGGGCTTGTAAAATGTGATGTCACATTTGACAGATTCTGTGAACGGCTTGTACAAAATGATTAATAATGTATGTGCATCGGGTGAGATTTTGCTTGATGTTTTTATTCAGATTATAAAGACGCTGTAAATGGAATTGTTCTATATTCTATTGTACTATACTATTATATTTTGTACATGCAACTTAGATAATTGTGTAAACACATTTACCAAATTTGCCCCCAACTCAGAAACTCTGAGCTTTAAGGGGTCATAGGATGCTACATGCACTTTTACAAGTTGTTTGAACTGAAATGTGTGTTGGGCAGTGTGTGTACACAACCACCCTATAATGATAAAAATCCACCCAGTGTTTTTTTTTTAATCGTGTTAAATGTTTTCCCCTTTCTCAAATCGAGTCGATCTCAGATGCCTGTCTGTGTGACATCACACAGACAGGCCCCTCCCACGATAGTTTGATTGACAGTAGCGTTTCAGCACAGACTGGACTGGCATCTTACCTTAGACCCACCCTGAGTGAGCTGTCATCAGTCCGCCATTGTTTCACCGCCGGAGCAGATGTAGACAAGAATGACTCCTAAGCGATTGAGGTGTTTTGTTGTTGGATGTAATAATGAACATAGCAGTCATCATTTACTCCCGACATCTGAGCCGCTGAACTCGCAGTGGATTACATTTGTTTCTGAAGGGAATGCGCCCCGATCTACATAAATGCGTCTATGTTCGCGCGAATCATTCATGATCCAGCCTCATCTACAGAAGAAGTGAGTATAATGTTTTGTAATGAATCTTTGCAAATCGCCTTTCCTAATAATGTGCTAATTAGCACGTTTCATGATGAATGAGGCTAAAGTAAACAGTCTGTCTGAGAGCAGCTCGGAAGAGAGGGGCCTACTTCTGGATCCTCTCATGGACTGCAATGAAGAATCCATGATCATAAATATAACTGATGTGCTCAGCATCAGCCCCATTAGCTAGCAAATGGCTGTGGAACAAGCAAGATGCAAACAGTCATGAATTAAACAGGAAAGAATCCAAGCTGCAGCCAAGAGCAAGAATTATCCCACAATACCCAGAAAATAGTTTTTCATTACATGGGCAATTTCAATACCTAGAAAGCTCATTTTTAAATTTGAGTGCGCTTTTTCTCCCTCACAAACAAGTTCTGTAATTATACACCATAAATCTCCCTTTTCATATTCATGTTTTTGCCTGAACTGACCTGAAGTTGAAAACCTGCTGTTTTTCTCTGTTCTGCATCTAACTGGGTCAGTCTCTGACCTCAGTTTGAGGCCATCGGTGGCCATGTTTGGTATTCTGTTAAATTCACTTTGAGACCAGATGTTTTCTCTAGAAAAACCTCATCCAAGTCTTTATCACCCACAGCTCTCTGTGAATGTGGGTCACAGTCCAAACGAAACTATAATGAGTTAGGAGTTATGAAGGAAATGACTTGTGCATAGTATTTAGTTAGAGTTCTGCGGCAGTAATGATGCTGTTTGAATACACATTTTGAAGCTGAAGTGTGCAATTTTTTAATGTAAAAATACTTTGTGTCTAATATGCAAAGATTGCAGGAGATTCTGCATAATATTACTTTCTGTGGTTTGGTTATGCTATTCATTTATGTTAAAATGGTTGGTGTTCTCTGCATGTTTATTTTATATATAAAAATTCATGACGTACATATAGACAAAAAGGCAAGACAACATGAAAATCATTTCTATAATTGCTTGTCCAAAATACATATTAGAAGTACAAACAACACATTACAGTACGCTAACACAAAAATTAAAACGATGGCTTTAAACTTTTCCCAAGTTCGAGTATATTTATTTAGCAACTTAATGGCTTGCAGTATGAATGATAACTCCATTTCTGCAATATTCTGGCATCTTAAAGCTTCAGCCTGAGGGGAAAAACTGCCGTTCTGAAACGAGTGGGTGCCTGCAAACTGCAAACTGCTTCTGTGCTTTGCTGTGAGATCTAGTTTTATGTATTTGTTCAAGGTCACACAAGGCGGTTTGCTGTGGTGTGATGTTGTATATGGATGTTTTATTACCTTGAATGCAGGCATGTTCACATCTCTTTGACATCTGAGTCTAAATCAAATCTGAAGTCTTGTTTCAGAAGTCAAGTCTCAAATTCCATGTGGTAATAGTTTTACACGCCTTTTCACATGGCAATGTCATGCATTTTTAGGATTTTCCTTGTTTATTACATTATATTGATCTAAAATAACATTTATAATGTTTTACAAATCTTTAATACAGTCACATTTTTAAATTAGTGTTTATTTATTGCCTAGGTGGCAAGTGAGGGATCAGTTACCTTAAATGTCCACTACCTTATGTCCACTCAGTAGGAAAGTTTTGTTCCTATAGTAAATGTATGTAACTACCACTCTAAACGTGCCCCCATGATGTGTAGTTACCTGTGGTTTGCTGTGGTGTGATGTTGTATATGGATGTTTTATTACCTTGAATGCAGGCATGTTCACATCTCTTTGACATCTGAGTCTAAATCAAATCTGAAGTCTTGTTTCAGAAGTCAAGTCTCAAATTCCATGTGGTAATAGTTTTACACGCTTTTTCACATGGCAATGTCATGCATTTTTAGGATTTTCCTTGTTTATTACATTATATTGATCTAAAAGAACATTTATAATGTTTTACAAATCTTTAATACAGTCACATTTTTAAATGAGTGTTTATTTATTGCCTAGGTGGCAAGTGAGGGATCAGTTACCTTAAATGTCCACTACCTTATGTCCACTCAGTAGGAAAGTTTTGTTCCTATAGTAAATGGATGTAACTACCACTCTAAACGTGCCCCCATGATGTGTAGTTACCTGTATTTATACCTTTAGCATCAGATGATGCTTTATGTGGAAAAATGTTTGTTGTGTGCTATTTTTGTCCTATCCTCCATGCTAAGGAATATGGCATCAAATGACAGAGAGTGTCCAGAGAACAGGTTATTGTCAGATTATTCCAAAAATTAACTTTTGGAGCCAAACATATCATGTGTCTCGAGTCAGTTATTTGTGAATCTACGTCTCATGCCAATTTTAGTGTGATTAAAGTGTTGCTTTGTGAATCTGAGACTCCTTGAATTTATAATCACAATGTCCTTGTGAAAAATAAGGATACTTAATTGTATTGAATGCGCACTTGTAGTGTACTTCAAAGTGTTTTTTTTTATAAAACTGTACTTGCAGATAATATTAATGAAATAAAAGGCCACTTAAGTGTGAGACACTTTCATGACTGTTTCTTAAAGTAAAAATGCACGTTGTGATAAATTAAAATGTTTACTTATAGTACATTTTAAATCATTGTTTTAATAATCTTTTGTCATGCTTTAAAGAAGTGCACTTGTTTTGATATGCTGACTAATATACTGACTAATAATCACATGTAAAGTGATGATAGATTAAGATTATAATTTTAAGTGTTTTTTGAAATTACATTTAAAGTTAATATATTTTAAAAGTACTCAATTGCCATTTCATCATTACAAATGTGTAATGACAAGTATATTTAAAGGGTTAGTTCACCCAAAAATGCTGTCATTAATTACTCACCCTCATGTCGTTCTAAACCCATAAGACCTTCGTTCATCTTCAGAACACAAATTAAGATATTTTTGATGCATTCCGAGAGCTCTCTGACCCTCCCATAGACAGTACGGATCCTAACACGATCAAGGCACAGAAACGTAGCAAGGAGATCGTTAAAATAATCCATGTGACATTAGTGGTTGAACCGTAATTTTACAAAGCTACGAGAATACTTTTTGTACGCGGATACGTTTTCTACGTTGTTTTACTCTTTGATTTGAACGAAAACAACGAATCCGTGTGACGCAGCTGACACGGAATAGCATACGCTGTTTACGTTCAGTGGATACTCTCCAAAAGGGCACCAGGGTGATGCGGAGGAGACGAATTGTTGAATAAAGTCGTTATTTTAGTTTTCTTTGTGTACAAAAAGTATTCTCGTAGCTTCGTAAAATTACGGTTAAACCCCTGATGTCACATTGAGTATTTTACCAATCTCCTTGCTCCGTCTCTGGACCTTGATCGTGGTAATTACATTGCTGTCTATGGGAGGGTCAGAGAGCTCTTGGAATGCATCAAAAATATCTTAATTAGTGTTCCGAAGATGAACGAAGGTCTTACGGGTTTGGAACGACACGACGGTGAGTAAATAATGACAGAAAATTTTAATTTTTGGGTGAACTATCCCTTTAAATACATGATATACAAGTTTCGGTATAAATAACATTCATGTATATTTTAGATTACAATAAATGCTTGTCAGTATAAATGCTGATTGCTAAAGTGACTTTGCTAAAGTGATCTAATGCTCTGTCTCTGTCTCTTTCAGATGTGTCCCCAGTACTTGCAGGTTTTCTGGGTGCGGGGGTCTTGGTCGTCTCCGTGACAGTGGCCGTTTTCCTCTGGACGTGCTGTCAGCGGCGATATCGTCAAATGACAGGTGCGTACAAGCTGACCAGCGGCCCCTACGACCCACCCATTGACCCCCCCTACAAGTTCATCCACATGCTCAAAGGCATCAGCATCTACCCCGAGACCCTCAGCAACAGCAAGAAGATCGTACGGGTGGGCCGGCGCTCAGGATCGGGCTCCCTGTTGAGAGAATGGGGTCGTGGGTCCCGAAACGGCGACGTGCTTCTTGTGGATGCGGATCCTGAAGGTGGTACCCCACACCTTCAGATGAACCACTTGGTACCTCCTGTGGGACCTCCCAGACTGGAGAGGTCGCTGCCCATCCGGGCCGACTACTGCTGTATGGAGAGCAGCTCAGGAAGCAGCAGCGAAGCACCCAGTAAGACGGCGTCGCCCCACAGTCTTGACTCCCCCTCTCTGGGAATGCTCAGTTTGGCCGTTGACTACAACTTCCCCAAGAAGGCCCTTGTAGTGACCATCGTAGGAGCGCAGGGGCTCCCCGCGGTGGACGAACAGGCGGGCAGCTCCGACCCCTACGTGAAGATGACCATCCTGCCTGAGAAGAAGCACCGGGTGAAGACGCGTGTCCTGAGGAAGACTCTGGAGCCCGTGTTCGACGAGACGTTCACCTTCTATGGCATCCCCTACAGCTTGCTGCCCGAGCTCTCGCTGCACTTCCTGGTGCTCAGCTTCGATCGCTTTGCACGGGATGATGTCATCGGGGAGGCGGTGGTGTCGTTGGTGGGTGTGGATCCCAGCACGGGACGGGCGCACATCACCCAGCAAATCAGCAAGAGGAACACGCAGGTGAGTGTTTCTTGACCTTACACAGGATTGGGGGATATTATGGGTGACTTTAATCTTTAGTGATGCACCGAAATAAAAATTCTGGGATGAAATTGGAAATTCAGTATTTACCACTGACCTATATGTGACCCTGGACCACAAAACCGGTTAGGATTGGTCAATATTTGGCTGAGATTTAGCTATTTAAAATCTGCAATCTGAGGATGCAAAAAAAAAAAAAAGTATCGAAAAGAGAAATCGCCTTTAAAGTTGTCCAAATTAAGTCCTCAGCAATGCATATTACTAATCAAAAATTACGTTTTGATATATTTACGGTAGGAAATTTACAAAATATCTTCATGGAACATGATCTTTAATTAATATCCTAATGATTTTTGGCATAAAAGAAAAATCTTTAATTTTGACCCATACAATGTATTGTTGGCTATTGCTACAAATATACCCCAGCGACTTAAGACTGGTTTTGTGGTCCAGGGTCACATATTGTTTAGTAGAAGTAGATCAGTGATTTTTAGCTGAAATCATGGTCCTTGTTATTCATAAAATGCAGGTTAGTGGCTACCGGTAAAAAAAAATCATATATAAGCAATACAAAAATAATACTTCTGACTTCTGACTCGTGGCTTCTGACAACATATTGAGGTTTTATAAAACAAAACAATCAGTATGTGCAAGAAACTAAACATTATTTACAATATTATTACTTGTAATCCATAGCCTCAGGTAAACAGTCTGGAGTGATGTCCGGTTTGCCAATGAATCGTTCAATGAACCGGTTCTTTTTGGTGAAATAGTTGAACCAGTTCACCAAATCTGCAGCACAGACCTACAAGTTACTCAATCAAAACTCACTTTCGGACGCTTGACAATCAATTCAACTCAAAATTAGCCAAAATACTGCCGTATATGATCCTATGATGCTGTTTTTTACTGACTCATTCAGCGCTCCAACGCACTGTCATTGAACTGAGAAAATGATACAATGCAAGCTGATATGAGCTTCATATGAGTTGGTGAAGACCTTTTATATGCTTTAGACATGTAAAACATCCACGTTTCACATCATTATTGAGTGCTTTAATTGCGTAATATGTTAGGCCATTGCATGATTAAATAGACAAACTGTCTATTTGGAAAAGAATTGGATTTCCCTGTTTGTCTGAGGCTCTGGATTACAGGTAATAATGTTGTAATTGATGTTCAGTTTCGTTTAGCTTCATAAGACCTCAATATTTCGTCAAGAGCCATGGGTATTCATTTTTTGTTGCTTGTGTTGCTCTTTTTGACTCTCAAAATGAAGGTAGCCATTGACTTGCATTTTATGAATCACCAAGGACCAATGAGTTCAGCTAAGAATCTTCTTTACTGTTCTACTGAGGAAAAAAGATATCTACATCTTGGATGGCCTGAGGGTGAGTAAATGAATAGCAATTTTTCTTTTTTGGGTTAACTAGTCCTTTAAAGAACATTATTTATTGTTTCAATTTCATAACAAAATTGACAGAATCTATAAGCTGAGACTTTGTCACATATCAAAAGTAACAAAGAACAAAGCTTATTACAATTTATTAGATGGGAGGAATGCTAGTAAATAATGTTTTATCAAGTTTTGTTCATGCATCAACTGAAACAGCCCTAAAAGATTGATCTTGAAATGTACGAATTCGGTAACACTTTAGATTAGGAACAGTATTATTAACTAGTTGCTTATTAGCATGCATATAGCGTATTGGCTGATTATTAGCACTTATAAAACCTGCATGACCATATTTTAGTGAAGTTTATTGAGTTTATTGAGGGAAAACTCTTGGTTAATAGTGAATGTGTTCCCTAATCTAAAGTGTTACCAAGAATACACATCAATATTGAAAAAAAACGTGCAATCAGTTTTGTTAATCCTGTACTAGCATCCACACAGCTGACATGTTTACTTGTCGTAAATTATCCACATTGTGTGCATGAAATAAACTTTGACACAGTCAAAATGCACCATCAGAGAAACACTAATTAAACGTCATTGTTTCGGTCAATGATTTCATCCCTCCAAAAACATTTAATCGGAAACTGACAATTGTTGTTTCAGTCAAATAATAACTACAGTCTTTACATAATTAGTAAATGTGAAAACGTCAGTATTGGGTGCGGCTGGGCCTGTGAACGGTGTCATATTCCTGGGCTGTTATGCGACACAGCGATCGTTAAACTTAATCATTCCCATGAGATGCCGCTTGAACCTTTATGGATCTCCCAAGATGTTTTACAGTTAGCGGCGGCTGTTATGGGCGAAAGGCTTCCTACGGCTTCCCTAGGCACAAACCTGATCTAGGAAATGTGGTAAAAGAAAAGATTTTGAGCTCTTTGCCCCAGGTTGAGCGTTCCTATACAAGCAGTTTCAGAGTGGCAGCGCTGGCATCAATTTCAGCTCAGTGAAGCTATTATCCCACAGCTTTTCCAAGACCAAGTCAAAGAGGCGCTTATTTTATTGTGTTGACATTTCGAACCTTTTTTGGCATTTAAGATGATACATGAGCTTTCGACTTTGTAGCCGCATGTGTAACTGTAAGACTACAAATAGTTTTTTTTAGTCAAGCAACAATAGTATACTTTATAAGAATACTTTACATAACTGAATGTAATGTTTTCAGACACCAAATCGCATCTCAGTTGTATATCACAGTGCATTTTGAATTGACAAACATCAATCATTTTTTCTTCTGAAATCATCCTGTGTTTCGAACTATAGATGTTATATTATGTAGATGTATGCCATATTGTTCCACATATATTTGTATGTTTGGGCTGGGCTTTATGGGTGGTGAGAGCGTCTATTGATCCACGAGCCATTAAAGTGGCATTATAGCAGACAGAGTGTGTAGCCATAAAGGCCAGGACTGCAGGGTGGGCACATCCATCAGTACAACCATCTGGAAACTAGTGCTTATTCTCACATCATTAGCAATGAAACCCACAAACCAAACGATTAACATCGCTTCAGTTATTCCGTTTTTGAAAATGATTGATACTTTCTATGCTTCTGTAGTCTTTTACGTCTGTTTACACCTGATATTGATGAATGTTATTGATGGGAAATGCGACTCCTTTAACCACTTGGATTGTTTTTTAAAAGGGAGGGTCTGCTTTTGTAACTATACTATACTGTATACTGGTTTTGTAACACCACTACTGTTCAAAACATTTGGGGTTGGTAAGATTTTTTTATGTTTTTGAAAGAAGTCTCTTCTGCTCATCAAGGCAGCATTTATTTGATCAAAAGTACAGTCAAGCCAGTAATTTAGTGAAATATTATTACATTATTATTAGTGCTGTCACACGATTAATCGCGATTAATCGCATCCAAAAAAAGTTTTTGTTTACATAATATATGTTTTGTGTTCTGAGTATATTTATTATGTATATATAAATACACACACATGCATGTATATATTTCAGTAAAAATATGTTGTTTATATATTAAATACATTTTTATATAATATAAATTACATTAATATAAATATATATACATGTACATATTTTCAAAATACTGTATGTGTGTGTATTTATATATACATAATAAATATACACTGCACACACATATGTAAACAAAAACTTTTATTTTGGATGCGATTAATCGTTTGACATCACTAATTATTACTATTACATTATTACTTAAATATATTATTACAATATTTCTATTTTAATATTTTCAAATGTAATGTATTCCCTTTAATTATTTTAATATGCTGATTTGGTGCTGAATGAAACATTTCTTCTTATTATCAATGTTGAAAATGATTGTCTTGCTTTTTGTGGAAATCAGGATACAATTTTTTTTTCAGGATTCTTTGATGAATAGAAAGTAAAAAAAAGGCATTTAATTAAAATAGAAATATTTGTAATATTGTAAATGTCTTTACTCTCACTTTTGATCAATTTAATGTATCCTTGCTAAATATGAATGTTAATAATAATGATAATAATACAGTACTGACCCCATCAATTTTAAACTGTATTGTACATTACTCAAAAACATCAATCGATCAATCGATCAATCGATCAATAACATCAACAATTCGGCAGACCATTGCTTAAAATATACTTTAGTTTCAAACCGAATGCTCATTAGCAGTTGTGTTAATTGAACTTAAGATGTACAACTGGAGCTTCGGACCAGATATATATTAAAGGATTTTCCTATTTTTATTTTTTGGGATGAAATTTTGAAGTGTGTATAAAGTAAATTTAAAACCTCTTTTTTAGTGTAATGGATGATTGACAGGTGACTAGGCAGTTCTTTGATACTGTCTGGGATTAGCGTTTACACTCCAATGTGCAATGTACTATAGTTTGTGATCACAAAATGTTTTGGACCTTTTTTGCACCTGTATTTACTGCGTTGGATTGTTTACTTGTGATCATATCACACAAGAAAAATAGCAGGTGTAAAAGAGGCCTCAGTAAACACCCATTGAATCAGACAGAGAAAGCTTTGCATCCATTTGCTCTCCAACACAAGCTGAACACTGTAAAAGTTGTTGCATAACAAGTAATCATAGCCTAATACGCTGCTGTATTTCCATCAAAACAGGAACAATAGCATTATAAGCGATGTTCATAATCTCATTCTCTCTGGCGGCAGGAAATCTTTAGTGCTCAAAGTCAAATAAGTATTTGAGCTTGTTTTCCCGCTTGTGTACGGCTTTGTAAATCGGCATACAAAATATGCAGAGTAAGCTTGTTCAAATCAGAGAACTTCCTGTCTGCTTTATACTCTTCTATAGAGAGAGTATCTTAAATTGAATCAGTGCCTATGACGCCACAAGACAGGAGCATTAGGGTGTTGGCTGGGAGTGGTGGACAATCGATTCAGCCAAGAGGGAGAGGAGAGCGAGAGAGAAGATTATAGGAGAGAAGGAAGGAGAAAAAGCTCAGGGAACAGATGGGGTGCAGTCCGCGTGGCGAGAGAGACTGGTAGAGAGAGAGATGGGTGATTATGAAGAGTG